TTGCTTTGCTACTGGTTAAGTTTGCTCACTTGGTTAAAGCTATTTGGTCACATTTCTCCAGTATTTCGGTGCTACTTATGGGGAGATATTTGAGTTGTGCACTATCCTATTATACCTTAATTTTGACCTCTTCAGTACACATGAATGATAGTGGCCTGACACAGAACATTACTGTGAGGCTTGCCAAATAGTAACTTTTTAAAACTCTATTTCTCATAGTACATTTATTAGTTTGCTTTGTACTGTAAAAAATTTTCCTTTTCTTCTTTTACTGCCCCAATTCTTTTGACTATTTGGGTGGTGCAGTTGGATAGAAGCCAAACCATTTTTGTTTCAGGCTTTTACTGCTAATTACATATATGGAAACTTTTTAAGCTAGTTTCTTAAACATAATGAATTTTTGTTTGTAATCTTACATTAATAGATATTTTTCTTGAACATCTCTTGCCAAATTATTTTGACTAATAATATATAAGTTGTAGGGTGGTGTTTTCACCAGCATTGATCCATTTAGCTTTCAGAAGAATTGTTTGTCAAAGGTTTAATTAAATTTAATTGAGAGGGGCTAGGGAGAGAGCTTGGTGATCTAAACACCTGCCTAGCAAGCACATGCCGCACTGGCAACTGAAATTGAGCATACTGGCACACATTTGTAATCCTAATGCTGGGGAGGCTGAGACAGGAAAATCACTACGAGTAAGAGCTGCATAGCGAGACCCTGAACCAAATAAATAAATACATACATACATACAAAATTTAATTGAGAAAAATGGCAAAGGCGTAGCAAAGTTAAGGGACATAATGGAGAACTACAAAATGATAATGCTCGATCTAGCCCCAAGTTTCTTCTTTTTCCACCAGATTTCTAAAACTTCTTCTATTTTTATTAAAGAACTTTGTCTTTACTTGGAATTGTCATGGCACTTAATTCTAGTTATAATTTGTGCATTCCTTTTGAAGAAATTCAGTATCCCTTGCAATTCAAGAGTTAGGAAGGTTCATTTACTCAATTTTTTTTTTTTTTTTTGGTTTATATTTCAAGTGGAAATCAATGGTATCATCTCATCTTGACCTTTTTATTTACCTAAGAATTCAAGAAAGATGTGAGACTACTCCTCCCTTTGAGAAAATATTTCTTGTTCTCTTCATATGAAGATTCTTTTTTGATTTTCATTTGCATGTAAGATTGTAATTTTTTACGAGCTTGCACTGATTCCTTTGATAGTTACATTTGTAAAATAAAATTAGAGATAACATTTAAATTCCTATATGTCATTTTTGAGTAGATAAGACTGAATGGTATATTTTGATGCTAGCATGAGCCGGCCAGATAGCTCAACAGACTAAAGCACCTACTTAGGCAGATCACAGTGGCCTGGCTTTGATCCCTGGTGTGCCGTGCCCTGCCCCGGGGTGTGCTGAGAGGGAGACTGAGACTGGGCATGGTGGCATGCACCTGTAATCCCAGTGCTTGGGAGGCTATGAGTCCGATCTACCTAGTGAGACCCTGTAGACCCTGTAGACCCCGTACTAGATACATTGAAAAATTAAATTAAATAAATCATGAATAAAATACCGTGTAATCTTCATATGCATATTTATTGGCAAAATATTTCATTTGTCTTGAGTTTTATCTAAATGTGTCCCTCTTTGGATTTCTTTTACAGAGGTGCCAAGTAAATACATCACTTCAAGGCTTACTTCTTTATTTGGTTTACTTATTTTTTATTCACCATTTTAACAGCTTTATTTAACTATAATTTGTATACTGAGAAATTTCCCTTTTTAAGGTACAATTAAATGATTTTTAATAAATTTGAATTGCTGTTAAATCACCAGAACAAATTTTAGAACATTCCCATAGTCCCAAGATCTTTGCATGCACATTTCCAGTCAACTGTATCCTCTCTTTCAGCCCCTGGATTGTTTGATCCTTTTTGCTATTATTAAGAAAGCTATTGTCAACTTTTGTATTATAGTCTCTGCACAGATCTATTTGCTTTCTCTTGCATAGATACCTAGGAGTGGAATCCTTTCTTATGGTAAATTTTGTAAATTAGCTACTCTTTTCCAAAGTGACTGAACTATTTTTATATTCCCACCAGCACTGTATGAGTGTTCTAGGTCCTCCATGTACTTGACATTTTTTTATTTCTTTTAAAATCGTTGTAGTAGTGGATGTATAGTCCTATCTGATTCTTTTAATTTGCATTTTGCTAATGACTAATGGCATTGAATGTGTATTCATGTACTTAGCAACCACCTCTTTTTTTCTTTGGTGATTATTACTCTTCTAGCCTGTGATAAATAGGGTCCCTGTTTTGTGGTAGCCTTTAGATCAAGGTGTTCACAAGGTAGGTTTTATTTTGAGGTTTCTTCTCTTGGTGTGTAGGTATCTACCATGTTGTGTTGTATACATGACCTCTTCTAAAGGCTTTGTCCCATCATGAGGGCCCACTTTTATGACTTCTTCTTTACCCTTTCTTCAAACATTACTAAATACAAATCTTGAAGTAGAGAATCTGATGTTTAGTCCATAGCATCTATTTCATGAAATTTTTGGAGAGTGAAATAATAGCTAACATTTATGAAATATGTTTTTCATACTACAATTCTAAATTCTGTGTATCATATTAATTAATTACAGCAACCTCATGAAATTGAGATTATTATTTCCATTTTGTGGACAAGGACCCTTAAGGTTTAAAGTTGTCTGAGATCACACATGCAAAATCTGGTTAGTTCTTTCTTTTCCTTGAACCTTTTCTTAAATAGAGCCCATTTATTATGCCTGGCTCGTTATTCCATCTTTATAAACCTTCTCTAATTGCCCTCAACTCTGAGGGATTGCCCTCTAATATCACTTTTTATATAATTAATTGTACTATTCTGACTTTATCCTATTCCTTTACATTGCTGTTATTCAACTTTGTATAACTTAATCAAAATCTATAACTACTTCATAGCTGTGGGACATGACTGTTATTTCCATTATCTCCTGCATTTCAGTCTCATTGGTTCCTCAGTGTTGGTGAGAGAGTGTATACATGTGAACATTGGGAAACCTCAGATAAAAATAATGGCTAAATTTGTAAAAATAAAATTATATACATAATTATATACATAAAATTATACATATATATATATGTATATGTATGTTCAAGTTAGGCTAGGCTTATAAGTAGTTTATAAAATGCAGAAGACATGCCAGTGTTTTAACACATTGAAATTTTTAATGTAATACTAGCTTCTAGAGAATGTGTGCCACTTCCAGAATTCTTATCATAATCTTCAAAGTTAGAATTTTTGGATAATTAAGCTAAACAATGTTCTCATTATTTTATTTCTTCAGCTATATTAATCCCTTTGATTTTATTTGAGTTTTATACATTGGATTATTGAGAAGAGAAGAAGTGGGGCTGGAGTTACTTTATTTTTAATTGTACAAAGCAGTAGAAGTAAATTGACTTTTACTGATATAAAGTGAAGAAGTTGAGCAGTGTGAAAACACTGATATTTCAGCTGGCTTTTAGGATAACTCAGGGTACCTAGAAAACAAGCACCTTGGACCTGACTCTCCTGGACCTCTGTTGATATAATAATATTTTTCTGGATAAGACTTTGGGAAAGTAAAATATACAATCTTACAGTGTTTTGACTAGAATGTATAAATGAAGAAGGAAAGTTACAAGTTATGATTATGATTTTTTACTACAAATATTATATTTAAAAATTATTTCCTAAAAGTTGATTAATTAATAAAACCCCAAATCTGCATATATACATAGTGATTATCATTTTATGGAGATATATAGAATTATATTTACAATCCAGCATGTGACAAATATTGTGCCAGAGCCTTTTACAACTGATGCAATGTTTTGTTTTGTATTTTCCTTTGGAACTAGGGATTGAACTTAGGCCCTTGAGCTTTCCAGGCAAGCACTTATCCTACTGAGCTATCTCCCCAGCCCACAAATGATATAATTTAATAGGTGCTCACTTTGACTGTCTGAGATAGGGTGAACATTGCTTTCATATTATTAAAATAAGGAGTGAAACACCAATTAACAACTTCAATATAACAACTTCAAAAATATATGTAGTGGCAGAATTAGAAATTGAACATGTTTTTGAGTTAGAATTTGATATTTACTTTTTTATTTAAAAAACATTTTTTTGTACTGGGAATCAAATTCAGAACCTTGAACTTGCTAAGCAGATATTTATGCCACTGAGCTGTCTCCCCAGGTAGAATTTGATGTTAGTGATATAGACTGATGTGTTAGCAATAGCAGCTAACATTCATTTCCATGCCATTAGTTTTATTTTAGTTTTATGATGTCAACATTTGCTTAGTTTATGTTTCATGGTCTTTAAAACTATATTATGAAAGAAGTGCAAGGTTAGGAATCTTGACTTACAAGTTAAGTTCCAATGTCAGATAGTCAGTAGAAGGGCTCACACGTACAGTGCATATCTATTTGTCAGCAGTATCTGTACGCTATGTTATACTAATACCATCTGAAGCTAGGTGAAATTCTAGCATGAACCCCAGGAATAAGAGCAGATGTTATTTCATAAAATCTCTCAAATCTACAAGTTCAAATACTGTTTTATCAGTGACTAATTTATCAGCAAAATCCTACTCAAGTTGATGTTTCAAATGAAAATTATTCCTGACTCTATTAAGATACCTCCTACTTTAGTGAAAATAGCATTTGTGAAATCCTTTCGGCCCTAAAGAGTTGATACAAGTTAACTTCTTGACTGATTATCTTTTTTATGTAACATTGAACACTTTTGAAGTATTTCTAAAGTCTGCCATATGAATTCTAATTATAGAAAGTGATAGTAACAAAAGCCATAGATGAAACTAGTTTCTCCCTTTTGATGAGAGCAGGTGTGCTCAGGGTGGTGTGATATGGCTGTAGACAATTTTTCCCTTTTGGTACAACATTTATACTGTCATTTATTCTTTTGTATACTCTTTTTTTCAGATCATTCTCACCTTGGCTGCTGCCGACCTAAGGATTATAAGGTATGTAGAAATAACTATAGAATGACAATTATTCTGGATTTTAGACCACAGCCTAAGATTCATCTAAATAAAAAGTGCAAAACGATTTGTCCCATCGTAGAATACCACTATTTTGGTATCTGTGCAAAGTGGTATGGTCTGCCTGAATGTCTTCTTCCAAATATTTGTACTTTGGACTATTAATTCGGATTTATTAATTACTGAATATGTGAGGGTATGAGAAAGAAATTAGTTATTACTTCTAGTTATAACTAACAAAATAGTATCTCCAAATTTTAGTTATTCACCCAGTATTCCCATCACTTTTGCAATATCTGCATTCATTTTATACTATTTTGTTTAAATTTATTTTCTTTTTTTCATAATTTTATTGAGAAACAAATAGCAATGAGACAGTTTCAAATCAAATTGGTAGAACAGTTTCAATAATTAACACATTGCATACACTCTTCCTAGTGGTTAATTGCTGTACAAGATGCGGACTTGATCCTATGGTGTTTGTGAATAGGATCCTGTCAAGAATAGGATCTTGACAAGATCCTATTCACAAACACCATAAGAACAAATCCCTCTATTTGTTAAGAGACTGTAACTACATATCCATCCTAACCATTTTGAATACACAGATACAAAATGGACATTCTTCTGGATTCCCTTTTTTTGGTTAAGTTCCGTTATTTGAGTATTATAGGTGTGTGAACTCGGCAAAATATTCTAAAAGAGCCCAGTAGCCCATAATAGTATTGGGCCTTCTGCTTGACTGGCAATGTCAGAAATTGCTGACCTGAGACCCCTACAGCTCAACATAACAGCATGGCTTTACTTCTTATATTTCGTTTTTATGCTTTTCTGCTGGATGGTTAAGACCAAGGTAAATCAGGACCTATGCAACAAGAGTTGTAGCTTTTGGGTCTGATAAGTCAGGGAAATCCCCTCAGGATTTATCCTGAGATCCTGTACCTCAGATTGTAGAACCTTTGTCAGGGTCAGCCATATGGATGAGTCACGGCCAATGCTTGGCCAATGTGCTCTCTGTGAAAGCCTGAGAGAATATTTACTCTCCATGTGACTCTTCTTAGGCATACTCTAATTCATCACTCACTTTCCTCTTTGGCCCCATAATCTCCTTGATCAGAAAATTTGGGACACTACCAACTTATATGATATAACAGTACAAGTCCTCATAAGTCCTGAGTCTTAATTGACCTTGGAAGGCTAGGGCCAAAAAGTTAGCTTTCCTTGCAGCCCACCTTTTTCTCTAATTTGGTCTGCAAATTTAGGTTGTTAACCATCCAGAAGACAAGCTTACTGTTATTACCATACAACTTAGGTTGTTAAGCTTAACCTCACTATCTGTCTGAATATCAAACATCTTAGGCATAGCATGGAACAGGTATTTTTCATCAAGTATTGATATGTTGAACTTTAA